AAAAAAAAATTGATTTAGTGTAAACCATGTAAAGTTTTTGCCTTTCTTCAAAATAAGAAAATTGTAAATTTCACATGATCATAACTTTCAAACATTAAAGGAAAATAAAATGAAATTAAACATCTGTTGATAATATTAAATTTAATATATATGATAAAAGAAATATTAACTCATTGCATTTTTGGGTGTCGGAAAGCATACTTTTAGAGATATTTTTTTCCCAGGCAGAAAATCACTGCATTAGGAATTGTCCATAAATAACACAACGCTAAATTTTACAAATAAACAAAACAAAATAGATCAAAAGTTTTCCCTCACAGAGCCTTAAGTTATATAAAAAATCAAATTAGCACATTAAGTTTAATGAAAATTGCCGCATAAAAGAAAAATATATATATATATATATATATAAATATATATATATATGTATATATATATATATATATATATATATATATATATATATATATATATATATATATATATATATATATATATATATATATATATATATATACATATATATATATATATGTTAGTGTATTCTACAAATAGAATGCGCAATGTTATTAAAGAACAGAGCAATAATAAATTAGTAAAAATAATTATCTAATTTTTATCTTTAACAGCTTATTTCTCCATCAGTAGGTTCAATAGGAAGCCTTCCTGATGAACTTACTGATGGAGAAACAAGCTGCTGAAGATTAGGTAAGTATTTTTACTATTTATACATCCTAAAAATTTGAAAGGGAGAAAACTAATAATGGTTTACTTGATTTTATATTAAATTTTTTTAATAAAAAGTTTTTGTTAAAGATTTTTGTTTAATTAAACAAAAGAGTTCACTTATTGTTAAAAACAAAATAATCTCTATTCACATATCTTTAATTAATATCTTTAATTTAAAAGGTAAAATGTTTAAGTTATTTTAATTTACTTTAGTAAATTTTTACTTTTGTAAAAGTTACTTCAATTTAAAAATTCATTTTTTCATGTTAATTTACGTCATTCTGTTGAAATTAGAGCATGAATTTTACGAACAATGAACGGTGATAGGAGAATAAGACTTCTTTATATAAAACGTTTACAGCAAACATTTAACGAAATTTAATAAAATTTTATTTATTTATATAAGTTTATTAACAATATTAAATTGTGCAATAAATGCAAATTAATTATGAGAAACGTTGTTAATTTAATTTTGTAAAGCATTTGCTAAAAACCATTTGTATAATATAGCAACGAAAAAACATTAAAAACTTTTAACAAAAAGAGATCACTATTTCATTGCTTTAATGTTTTAATGATGCAAAAACATTATGAATTTATATTTTAATTAAACAAATGAAACAATCAAAAAAAATGAAAACTTATGAGCTTCTTTCAAATAAATTTGATGCAATAATAAAAAAAATTAACTGTTATATTAAGTTAAAGATAAAGACAATAACAAAGAAAATACATAAAAGATAATTTAATTCTTTAAAACAAGATCATTAAGAACTAGGTAGAAAAAAAAAAACACAAACAGATAATAATAAACAAGTATTTAGCAAATAATAAACAAGTATTTAGGAAGTCAAAAGAAATTTAAACATTTTGTCAGGCAGTGCCTTGCTAAATTATAATTTTAAAATACCCGGTGGGAAATGAGCTAGCGACTAGCTAGCTCTATAGCGATTTTCTAGCGATTTTTTTTTCCTTGTTTTATTTTTTGCAAATGTCTTTAACACCTTTAAAAATTTGATTTTTAGTGTTGAGTCTATTATAACTATGAAAATAATTGAACTTTAAACATTGCGATTTTGTAGCAATGTGTCGCTAGCTACATATCGCAGCTTTGTAGCTAGCTACAAAATATCTACAAATCTTTAGCTGGTTGATAGCTACATATCAAACTTTTTTATACAACGATTTCATCACGATATGACGCTAGGTACAATAACCAGTGGATCTTTAGCTTATTAAGCTAGCTGTCTTCGTTGCCAAATCGCTGTCTTTACCTTTAAAAAAATCGATAGCTTTTCAATAACTTAAAAAAGCTAGCGATCCTCGTGGCCAAATCGCTGTCTTTATCGTAACGATTATAGCTAGCTACTCGCTAGCCGATTTCCCACCGGGTATGTTTCCTCTAAAGAACGCTGTATAACAAATTAAATCTTAATAAAATTGTGTGGAACACCCATATCCAAAAACAAAAGATTACTCCTGATAACTTAATGAGAGCGCATAATCATGCTGACTAAAAAAGATTTCAGTTTTACGGGCGCGAAACATCACACTGGACAATTTTCTTAGAGCCAAGGTCTGATATATGTAATATATTAATATATATGTATATGTATGTATGTACATACATATACATATATATATATATATATATATATATATATATATATATATATATATATATATATATATATATATATATATATATATAAGCCGTTTAGCCTTCCCACTTATATATATTTAAAAAATATATCGTTTTTTGATTTTCTAT